GTGGGTGGGGTGGGGGGACAAGATCTTACATTCCCCATTATTTATTTAACTCAGTTAGGCAATATAAGACTGAACTGGTCAGTGGATCAAGCATCTAAGCTATGGCTGGAGGGGCAATAGATTCAGGCTCTGGAGCAACCTCTGCCGCAGAGAAACCATTAGCATCAGATTGGTGTTTGTCGAAACCCCAAAACTTGGCAGCTTTCACATCATCTTGAGCCATTTGCCTTGAAAACTCCTCGTGATCATAATTCAAAGTCGCTGATCCTCCAAACTCAGTAGGAAGATTATCCACATCGAAGAATGACTTCATCAGTTCCACGCTATCCTTGTTCTTTGGATAGACAAATTTGACTTTCTGAAATGTTTTGGGATCCATAAAGTATTTGACAATCTGGAAAACAAGAAAATGGCGTTAATCAATGGAAAGGATAAAAATAAGGGAGTGACTGATGCTTGAACAATATAAATGAGCTCAACAGGTTGGAAAAGGAGCTGTAAATTATGAATTGCAACTAAATTGAATAAATAGTATGAGAGGGGGACAATTTCAAGCACATGGTAAAGAAAGAAAATTCGATACATGATATCACTACGCCAGATAGCACATATACCCTGTCAAAGGTTCGAAAGTTTACAGATCCACTCAAGAGACAGTTTTACCAAAGGCATTAACCAGCCACATCTACTTCTGAAAGGAAGTACTAATCTTTTTGTTTTACCCAACCAATGTTGTACAGTAGGAAATGTTTGTCCAAAGAAAAAGATCTTAAAATGATGGTGTACGTTGGTAATTTGGCACCTTTAATAAGTTCTGATGTCTTTGAAATAGTTAACACTACAATCAGCTAGGTTTGATCAACAAGCAGGGACAAAAGACAAAGAGGATGTAGATCATACCTTCCAAAATGCTTCAAAAATTCGCGGTGGGTTATAAAGAAATGCTACAGCGAGTCTCTCAGGGTAGTGGTTTTGCAAAATGTTGATCGTCTCGCGAGCAGATTTTATGGGAACATTATTGGTTATAGACCATCCTGTGAAGTCGATTAACCAGGCCATCTGTTCTTGACCTTCTGGCAGATTAAGAATGGCATTCTCTATCAGATATACCAAATGCTTCATTTGGTTGTCCAGTGCTGATGTGTTCTGCATATATGGGAAACATATTTAAAATTTCACTAGATGGAGAAGAAACTAAAAAATAACAAAGAGAGATTTTGAACACATCAACTTGCTTTTACATTACCTGCTTTCCTGGCCGCAATATAAGTACTGTCCTGCCGTAGCGGTCATGAAAATTTGCTTTATACACCTTCCCAGTCTCACCTTCTATTGCTACTTCATGCTAACAATGCAACACCATTTCTTGGTCAGCAGAAGCAATTGTAAACTCACATAATACTTAAAGGAAATCTTATCCGTGGAGGTCTAAATATGAAATTCGCAGAGCATTGAATGGTAGATATATCGATAATCATCTACTTCCAACAAGACTTATGGTTAAAGAAAAAGGAATTGTTCGTCAATAGAAACAAATAGACAACTACTACACTAATCTAAGTATTTCACATTAAATTAAGTCAAGTGGTCAATGCAGTTTCATCATCTCCTTTAAAATATTCACACAACACTACCAGAGACCCATACGTTTTTTTTTTCATCATTCAAGCTAGTCATGGTTATTAATGTGATTTCGGCAAATCCCAATGTTGGGGAATGGGAGTAACAACGTGGAGATCCCATGTTCATTTTCCAGCTACAACACTTGATGTGAGCCCATCTGCTCTCACCTTGATGAGCAGGATTACTTTGGTAACCTATGTTTGTGGACTGGACAGGTTACCCGGTGGATTAGTCGAGGTGTGAGCCCACACCACTGATTTAAAAAAAAGAAGTTAATGTGATTTCCGACCTAGATTTTTCATGCTAGCTCTGATAAAAAGGACATGTTATATAACAATAAAAGATATCACTAGTGCAAATATATTGTTCCCTTACCCAGCGGATTTCTTCAGGTTTAAAAGATGACCTCCATTTAAGTGTCTCCTCCAACATCTTCCTCGATTTATCTACACTCCAGTTCCGTGCTTCCAAATACCTCCTTAAACATGCATCAGTGCAGTACTGCAAGTTGCGCCCTGATAGTGGCCCCAGGGAAGCCCTAAGCTCCTTAACCTATAAGAAGAGCCAATATTCTAAGAGCTCATAATAGGATTTTGATTGGGAAAATCCAACAGAAACCAATGTCTAAAAATTTAAAGTATATTCAGCATCCTTGCCATGCGGTATTCAAGAGGATTCAAGCACACTTTATGAAACTTTTCCAGGATAAGTATCAATATGCAATGACAATGCACCCACAGAACATCAACAACTCTTCCAAAGTACGAACCCGTTCAAAATTTGTATAAACATAACAATAGAAAACAAGTCCTTGAAATGCCCAAAAATATACAGAACCAACTATAATCTAACTCAAAGCACTAACCCAAACAATGTCAGAATAGAGGCTATTAACAAACACATCCAAACAGTAGGACTATTGTTACCTTGTGCTGCTTCTCCTCACCCTCCTGTTCAACATTAGAATGATTCTTGCGACGAAACATGGTCAATGCTGCTATAATTGGTCTCTTAACTGAGCTTTACCTGATAAAAGGATCCATATGAACAAGCGAGTAACTTTCAAATAATTAAAAACTTTGCCAACATTAAAATTACCCATGTAGCAATGCAGACATTTTCTCGCAGCGGAAATGCTCACACAAATAGACGAGGGAACAACCTTCATTAAGCAAAGAAAAACAGAGGTACAGTAACTGACCTTTTATTAAAAAAAAAAAAAGACTTAAGATTTGCAATGACAATGTCACAGTCTAATAAAGAAGCTCAGACCAATCTGCTGCACCTTTCAACATTTGTATGCTTAAACAAAGTGGATGATGGAATTGGGAGGAAGGGCATTTGTCCTAGAGTACATTTCTAAAGGCAACTGAGTTACATGTCTGAAAACCCCTATTAGGTATTCTGTCACTAAGCAGGTATCACTTTAATTCATCTTTTTAAGTATTAGTGGGTGTTTGGCTAAGCTTATAAGCTGGTCAAACTAACATATAAGCATTTTTCGGTTTATCTACGCGTTTGGTAAAGTTAAAAGTGCTTATAAGTAAAAAATAAGCCAAAAGACATAAACTGGTCACCCCCAGCTTATGAATTTTTAACTTATAAACACTTTAAGTTTGACCAAAATTTTTACTATTTNTTCCTTTGCATATTTGTATCTATGTGATTGTGTATTAATCTTTGAACTATATGTAATAAATGAGTACATATCAAATTTTTGATGTATTGCTTTCTAAGTGTTGTGGTGATGAAGACACTGTTTTGTTTGTTTCTCTTCCAATATTTTGTCCTATTTAGGTTTATTTTTTTACTGAAAAACTTTTGTAAATTTATTAATTATTATAACTTATGATTATATGCTTATCATAAAATAAATTATATTTATCATAAAAATTATCTTATGCAAGCACAATCGTATTTAAAATAAAATGACAAATATAATATTTTGTATTTTGAATTGACCCGGAATCTATAATTTTGAAGAAATTACGCCCTTATAAGTGTAAACAGTTCTAAGGTTATTTGAGTCATGTTAACAGAAAAAAAGTTTATCAGCACTTTTTTATCAAATATTGCAACAACTTATTATCAATTTCAGTATTTGTATCCAAACACATAATTGTTTATTTATTAAATCAGTTTCGTCACTTAAAAGTTCTTTTCAAATGCTTATCAGCTACTTCAAATCAGCCAATCCAAACCGGCTCTTAGTCTTTTTAGCACAAAATCATCATTATTCACTGGTTGAAACAAAAATTAAAGAACTAACACAATGTCAAATTCAGGAAGAAGTATAAGTTAGATGACAGAACAAAAACTATCAAACACATACACTCTTAGCAGAGCTAGTCTCTAGCTGTCTGACTAATGATCTACCTACAACAGAGAGGTGACTCATGAAAAAACACACTCTTTTCCTCATTCGCAACGCCAATTAGAGATTGCATAAGATAGGAAATATTGGAAAAAGAAAAAGAAAAAAGCTAAACTTTCCCTATCCATAATAACTTTAACTGTAAAACTAACACACTCATGTAAATAGTAATCAGCAACCATTCAATCAATCGATCATTTCCAGGTCGGCTCTGTCAGAATCATATGTATCTATTCAGCTCTATTCTTGCTCATTTCAGCTATTCAGGCCCATTCAAGAGTACTTAATTATGACATAAATCCCAAATCAAGCTTAAACATTAGATTAAGCCAAACAAATTCGGCAACAAGATAATCACCTATCCATAAAACAAAACAATCAACAGATCCAACAACCCAATTAACAAAAGCAAACACAAAATAAAAATAAAAAGTAAAAGAAAAAGAAAGGTACTTTACCAACTTATGAAAAAGAAAACACACACACACACGCACAGAGAGCAAACAAAGAACCCCAAATTTAACAAAAGTAAAAACACATAAAGTCTAAAAACTCTCCGCCACCCTGGGCGGCGGCGGCAGCCACTGATCATACCTGACGACTGAAGACAAACGGTAGCAGAAGCAGAGCACAAAAAAGGTGAGTTTTTCGGTCCTTTTTTCTAACAGAATAATGACATGCAAATTCTGCCAAAAACTGAACCCCAATTAATGCATATACTACGCGCACCTCTGAACTTTCTCTCTCTATATCTGGGGAGCAGAGTGTAAGAGTCTACACACCGTTTTCTCTCTCTATACATATAGTCTCATTTTCATATAAATATATGTAATATTATATAGGACTGTATGTAAGATATTTTTTATGTATAAATAAAAAGTTATTCGGCAATTCGACAATATTTAGAAAAATTAGTCCATTTGTACGACTCTTAAGGTCATTTCCTAATGATTTTTGCTATATAGTTTCTGGAAGGCGAGACTTTTGTCTGTCACAGACGACACGTGGCGTTTAGATCTACTCGATTGAGATTTCATGGTAAAAATCTCCCGAGTAATTTTATTTTGTGTCTCATACAATTTGCTCTAATTGTTTGAGGCTCTTTTTATCTTATATATTTGTGAATCCATATCTTACACATTTGGGTTCACAAAATTTTAGGACCACACAATTATGAAACAAAAAAGAGGCCCCACACAATTAGTGTTAATTACATGAGACACAAAATAAAATTTTTCTAATCTACCGTTTATTTCCTCGTGAGTGAGTGTCATGTGTTTGAGATCTGTCACGTTAGTCCAATTTGCCGTGCGTTACAGGTGCATTTTGTTGACCGAATGACCCCGGGTCCATCTGATTTACTCACCGTTTTAATTTATATGAACATATTTAAAATAAATACAAATATATTTTAATATAAAATAAAGTATATGTATTTTGTATAGTTATAAGTCATTATATAAAAGTAAATTATTCAAATATGGAAAGTAATTATTCTTTTTGACAGATTAAAAATAAAATAGATTCACATAAATTGAAACGGATGAACTAATGTTTTTTAAGCTTACTCTTTTTTTTCATTCAGTATCCACTTGGGGCTCGATTAATTTTAATTTGTGTCCTACTGCCAGGAAAATACACTTTGAAGGTAAAGTGCTTTCTGGCTCGAACCTATGATCTATGGTTAGGGGTGTCAATGGTTCGGTTCGACCGGTTGTTTTATAAAATTTGTACCATACCAATTTTTCGGTTATTCTATTATGTATTACCAAAATTAGACTTTTCGAAACCGTCCCAATCATGTCGGTTTCTCTTCGGTATCGGTACGGTTTGGTTAATTTTCGGTATTTTTTTTATATCATGTAAAATTCACCAGTAGAAGTAGAATGCAACAACATACGTTCTTTTATAGGACTTAGCAAAATTCTCTAGACATTTTTACTGTTTAAAGGGTGATGAATTTAAAAAATAAAAGATGGCTAGAGTATAGATCCATCAACTATTCTAAAACAACGTAAAAGAAACCAAACAAAGACAAAGAAAATATAAATCACACGAGTGGAAAGATATTAACCAAGTTGGGACTAAAGATAAATCTAAATTATATGAAAGGAAACATATTCAATACATTATAGTTTGATACTCATAATCGCTAGAATACTTTGAAATAACTTAGTTTAAATAGAAGTAGCATAATAGGTTTTAGGAATTAGTATTTTCAGTTTAATTACTTGTTGGCTTGTAATAGTTTTCATAAATTCAAGGCCCAAAGAAAAATTTAATGTATTATTATTTTTAAACTCACTAGATAAATATATTTTTCACATGTAAAATTTATTCGGTATGGTTCGGTATTTTTTCGGTTTATTTTAATAAAATAAAAAACCTACCCTAATTATCGGCGCGGTTATAGATTTATATAAAAACCTGCGGTTTCTTAAAAAGAAACCTAAAAATCGGTTCGGTGCGGTACAGTTCGGTCGGTTTAGTCGGTTTTCAAAATTCATTGACACCCCTAGCTATAAGATCATCATATATAGTAGAACCAAGACACACGAATCTAACAACGGTAACCAGCTCTTCTAGGGCTCACATTAACATCAACCGCACGACATGGTCACAGGCCTCCAGTCCCAGCATATCATACAGGAACAATTAAACAAGTACACATGTATATGATAATGAAATAAGATTCTCATGCTCCTTGACTGGTATAAATAACACGCCATAGTGTAGGCATGTGCAAAGTCTACTATCACAACTCAAATCGGCAAGTTAACGCATAAATAGTAACTACCAAGTTTTCTCAGGGAATTAGCCTCTTCATAAACTCAAGTATAGCCCAGATATTTCTCCATAAATGTACGAATGCGAGAAACGTTATAACTTTATACTTAACAGTCAACTCTAGGCATATCATAGCCTAAGCATTCTTCCGAGTATGAATACTTGCCCTGATGCCCGGTCAGTTAAAATCCTTCCTCTTGCTTCCTTCCAGGAGGAAATCACAATACACAACACGTTCCCTACACCGGTATAAAATATCCGGTTCAAACCATGGTAGAAACCATCAAGAACACTTTGAAATCCATTTGCACATAACCAAGCTATCAGAACTGAATTCCTCAAACTTGACCAAGCCACGCCGGTCACCAAACCCAAGAATATTGCCACCAAAACATCTGTAGAGCCTCATCACATCATAATCACCCAAAAGAACCGAGCATACCATTACCATACTGGTCTAGCCTACTACCTAGTTGTCCTATTTTCTCTGAGTTTCTTCTGAATTACCCTCAAGTTGACACTTCTCCTTATCAGAACACTACGACCCTTACCCAAAGCTCACTATAAGACACCCTAACATAAAACCACACCGCCCTAAGGCCCATAAGTCGTTGTATACTTCTTAAGCACCCCGTAAATACCACAACTGAGACATCCACTCTGAAAGACCTTATGTGAATTTAAAATTGTTCTTCTTCCCTTTCTTATACTGAAATATAGAATCCATAGTCATACAGAATTACAGCAAGTAAATAGCTGATTCTAGCAATATACGAATCCGAAAAATTTTCATTTGCCACTTATACATTTTTGAATCCATTAGCACCTTCTCGAGAGTCACCCATTTTGTTCAAATCTAAATTGCACCGCCCCAAACGGGCCGAAAGACACATGCTCTAATAGCATAACACCCAAAGAAGTAACCCTACCTTACTACCACCAATCAAATTTATACTCAGTGCGCACTACATCCTTCAGAAATAACTGGTCACTCGTCCCATGATTTTCATATACTCCTAAAGTGCCATATATCCAGTATCTAGTCATTTCATTACTCGATTCCTCCTCGATCTCAACCTCGGTAAGTCGTAACTGATCCATAAATATGCCTCAGGCCAAAACCAATACAACATATAACCTTGCAATCAAATCGTACGTAGAAAACTCCCCCACTTGGCTCAAAGTCATAGATCATGAAATTAAATAACTCACAATACCCATACCGTATTACTGCCATGATACTGCAGCGAGATTTGACTAAATTCTTCACAAGCTCATGCAACGCAACCCGTATAGTACCTCAATTCATCTGCTAAGCTCGCCTTTATTTCTCTAGACAGTCAAGTCAACTTTCTCAACCAAATTCAAATTCGAATCTAAACACATACACCCTACTGGTAGAAAAGAAACTCCCCACTCAATATTATAAGGAACACATTTACGTAGATTACTACACAACAGATAACCCACCTACTTAGCCTCAAATTGGCATCTTGCTGTCACGACCCAAAATCTCACCTGTCGTGATGGCGCCTATCTCAATACTAGGCAAGCCGATACTCTCAATAAACTCTCATATCATTTGAGTTTGAAAACATAATATCTAAATTTAGCGGAAGAAAACTCACAAATACATATATAAATACTCTCAAAACCCGGTGTCACTTAGTACATGAGCATCTAATATAAATACAAGTCTGGAATAATACGGTCTATAATAGTCTGAGACTAAATACAGTAAACAAGGAGATAGAAAAGGAGAGACAAGGTCTACGGAACACGGGAGCTACCTCAAAATCTCCTGAAAATCAACTGCGCGAAATGATTAACACCCGTTATGTCCGGGAACACCTGGATCTGCACGCGAAGTGTAGGGTGTAGTATGAGTACAACCAACTCAGCAAGTAACAAGAATAACTAAGAAACTGAAGATAATGACGAGCTACATAGTTATAGTTCACTTTCAGTAATTCCAGCAAAGAATAGACATGCTTTCAAATCCGGCAGTTTAAGTCAATTCAATTTTCATACAGTTCAATTTCATCTAATCCGGATATAAAATCTTTCAGAGATTTCACAACAATGACAGATAGCAATCAAGTGCAATAACATATGCAAAGCAAGTACAGCCTCTCAGGCAACAGTCACTCAACTCATCACTCGGCTCTCTACCCTCAGCACTCATACTCAATGGGTACCCGCGCTCACTGGGGTGTACAGACTCCGGATGGGCTCCTACAGCCCAAGCGCCATAATCCGCACGGATAACTCACGTGCCATATATCCTTACCTCACCAACAAGCCCTCGGCCTTACTCTGTCCTCAACCTCTCTAGTCTCTCGGGCTCTCGAAAACCACAAAGATCAGCCCAAACAAAGATAGTAAATCAACAAATATCAAGAAAGGCTGAGGTATGATGCACAAGTAAAATCATGATTGAGTACAAGACAGCAATTAGCAAATAATTCAACAAGTACGCGACCTCTGTGGGTCCCAACAGTACTATCACATAGCCTAAGCATGATTATTAACATGATTTACAGATAAATTTCTTCAACACAAAGAGAGCTTATAGCTAACAATAGGTTATTCAACTTTACAGTTTTACGGGACGGACCAATTCACAATCCCTTCGGTGCACGCCCACACGCCCGTCACCTAGCATGTGCGTCACCTCCAAAATAATCACATGACACAAAAATCTGGGGTTTCATACCCTCAAGACCAGATTTAAAACTGTTACTTACCTCAAAATGTAAAATTCTTTACTCTGTTATGCCTTTTCCTCACAAATCGGCCTCCGAATGCCTCGAATCTTGTCACAAATAATTCTTTTCAGTCATTAAAATTTATTGGAATTAATTCCATAAGAAAATACTAATTTTCCATAAAATTCCGAAATTTAGCTCAAAAGGCCACATCTCAAAACTCGACAAAAGTTAAAAAATCCGAAAGCCCATTCAACCATGAGTCTAACCATACCAATTTTATCAAAATCCGACCCCAACACGACCCTCAAATCTACAAATCTTATTTCCAAATTTCT